CACACTCGTAAGTATTTATAGGAAGACTTTCTTCCTTTCCATAACTCATAAGGGGTTTTTTCTATTTTCTTTCGGGATACCTTATTTAAAAGATAATTTGTTGATAACACAGCTTCTCCCCACATGTTCTGAGATAACCTAGAAATTACTAGTATTGCATTCATCATTTCCTTTAAAGTGCGATTTTTCCGTTCAGCAACACCATTTTGTTACGGTGAATAAGGTGCGGTGGTTTTATATATGTTTCCGTGTTGTGCACAGAATTCCACAAATGGTACTTCATACTCACCACCTCGATTGCTTCTTAACACCTTAATTTTCTTATTAAGTTGAGTTTCAACTTCACTCTTATAGAGAACAAATTTCTCTATAGCTTAATCTTTACTTTTTAGCAAATACATATAACAGTATTTGGTACTATCGTCGACAAAAGTAATGATATACTTGTTGCCACCTCTTGTTTGTATGAGTTTTAAATTACATACGTCGCTGTGAATTAAATCAAGTGGTTATGTGTTCCGTTCAATTGATTTAAATGATGACCTTGTCAATTTTGTCTCAACACAAGTTTCACACTAATGTTTTGAATCAATGTAGAACTCGGGTATGCAATTCAAGTTAACTAGTATTCGAAAAGTATCATAGTTAACATGTCCTAGTCTACCATGCCACAAATTGGAATACTTAAGCAAATAAGTAGAAAAGTTTACTTTATTCATTTTTGGTTTAACAACCATTACATTCAGTTTAAACATACCATCGTAAATATATCATTTTCCGACAAACATTCCACTTTTTGACAAAATAACTTTGTCTGACTCAAATACAATGTGAAAGCCATGCTTATTCAAAAGCGACCCGGACACTAGGTTCTTGCGAATTTTCGGCACGTATAGCACATTGTTAAGAGTCAGCTCTTTTCTTGATGTCATCTTCAGAATCACCTTTCCTTGACCTTTGATTTCTGAAGTTATTGAATTTTCCATGAATAACTTCTCCCCATTCTCAATTTCTTCAAACGCTGCAAACAGCTCCTTATCAGAGCACACATGCCTCGTAGCACCGGTGTTAATCCACCACTCCTTAGTGTTTGAACCCACCATGTTCACTTCAGAAATGACAGCTGAGAGATTCAGCTCCGACACATCTTGTGCCATGTAGTCAACCACATTTGCTTCTTTCTTCTTCTTTGACAATCTGCACTCCGAAGACTTATGGCCCACTTTGTCACGTTGAAGTATTTCCCTTGAAATTTCTTCTTAGAAATTTTGCCTTTTGGTCCTAGCTTGGTCATTTTGCCAATGGATGACCTAGACTTGTTTTTGTATATCTTACTACTTTGACCATTCTCCACAACATTAGCTTTAGCAGCACCAGGATTGAACCACTTCTTTTCGAAACTCTTGTTGTCTTCTTCAATTCGAAGTCTAACAATTAGTTCTTCGACGTTCATTTACTTTCGCTTGTGCTTTAAATAATTCTTGAAATCTTTCCATGCGGGAGATAATTTTTCAATAATTGCAGCCACTTGAAAAGTTTCACTCAAAATCATCCCTTCGGCATGAATTTCTTGAAGAATCACTAGGAGTTCTTGCACTTGACTGATAACTATTTTGGAGTCCACCATTTTATAGTCTAGGAATCTGTCGACAATGAACTTTTTAGCCCCGGCATCCTCAGTTTTATATCTTCTATCCAAAGACTCCCATGGTTCCTTAGCAGTTTTCATAGTACTATACACATAGTATAGCGTGTCTGCTAAGTTGTTCATAATATAGTTTTGGCACAGAAAATTCGAGTGGTTCCAAGCATCGAGTGCACGCATTGCTTGAACATGTCCTTCACCCTCATTGAGTTTTGGAGCAGTCTCAGTCAAGAATCTCGCAAGATTCAAAGTGGTCAGGTAAAATAGCATTTTCTACTGCCCCCTTTAGAAATTCACACCATTGAATTTTTCCGATTTTTCTTCATGATTAACCGGAACACTAATGGTATGGTCAGTTGTTGGAGCCACAGTTTGACTTACAAAATGACTTGGCAATCTAGCCACAGTCTGAGCTACAACAGAGCTTGGCCCTTGAGCCACAGTTGAGCTTATAGCCTGATTTCCAGTAGGCACAATTTGGGTCACATCCATGTTGGTCAATTCATTTGCCATTTCTGAAAATAAAAATAAAAAAATTAGTTTCTAAAATTAACAATATAAGAAACTAATTTTTCCTTTAGGAATCTGTTTTAAGTTTGTTGGAATATAGTGGTATTAATGAAATCGGATTATCGTATACTGTATTTGGCAATTGCTTACCGTATTTGAAGTTCAATTCAACGTATATGGCAGCTTACGGTATTTGTCAGATAGCTCACCGTATTTGACAGCTTACCCTATATGCCAAGCAGCTCACCGTATTTGGCAGTGACACAACAACAGAATTTGCAGAAACTTTATAATAACTTAAACAACACGGATTTTGGACAAACTATTTGTTTTCATAAAATAATTTAAATAACACAGAATTTGAATTTTCATAAACACGGTTTCATATCCCGGTTCGTATATACAAAATATTATCTAAATTGTGAGAATTAAAACAAATTAAGTACAACAATTATATTATTTGTAGAAACACAAACGTAATATAAATTCTAGAAAATAGAGATTTAAATTGAAAGTTAAATAAATCTGAAAAAGCATGTAAATCTGCAAATAAAGAAATGCACAGAGATTTAAACTGGAAAGCATATAAATCTGAAAATAGACTTTTAACCCGAGGCCTATATAATCACAGTTTCCTTAAAACAGATTCGCTCCCTCATCGTAAGTACTTAAGGTCTAGTCCGAGCGTCTGTTCCCAGGATATAGCGACAAAACCAGCAGAATTTGAGCACCACAGAAACTACTTCGACAAACCGATTTAGCGTCTGAACAATATCACCACTACGATGACTTCACTAGACAGAAAGATGACGACAGAATTTGGGAATTTTTCGTGCAAAGAGAATTTCGTGTGTTTTCTGGTGAGATTTTTCATATGTTTAATTGCTGAAAAACTTGAGATTTAATATAGCATAAATCTGCCATTAACTTTATGGCAATTAACATTGGAGTCACTTCAATTTTTGGGAGTTTTGGAAGTTTCAGAAATTCAAAAGTCAATGGAGAAAGCAAGAAAAAAATTGCAAAACATGGGCTCTCCAAAGGGGTCAATTTTTATTCCGTTCGGTCCGACATTCGTGTACGTAGGTCGTGTCTGCACATAAGTTCAAGGTCCGAAGGCAATTTCGATCCGTGATTTGCACCCCCCTGCGCGCGCACGTGGAGAGAGCCTCTATGTTACACATGATTACACCCTTCCAATGTGCAACCATATTTAAAGTGGTTCTTGCTTTCTTTCTTTTCCTATGTGAGACGAGCTATTTTCCCACATAAAATCATCTTCCAATGGTCAACTTTGAGCTCCAATTTCTCATTTATCTATTCATCAATTTTAGCAAATAAATATATGATTTCGATACTCTCACGGAGGAGAACAATAATCAACTTCGATCTTCCAAATTGGACCAACGGGTCCCACCGAAAATTTTGCCAAAAGTGAGCAATTTACTCTTTTTTTTTCCTACAAGAACACAGGAGCATGTTTTGTGAAGTTGAGAAAGAGCTATATACCTAAGAGTGATGTAAAGCCTTCGCACAGTGGCATCATCCGGAGTGTTCCCAGGAGTTTCTGCCGAAGATAGGGCTCCGGGCGAACGGCTTCTGAGGAGGGTTATAGTTTTTGCCTACTGGAGCATTCCCGATCAAAATAATAGAAGGGAAATTGTCGTTTGAAATGTGCTTCTGAAAGATAGTGAAATGGTTACCAGTCCATTAAGAATGGGCTTGTGGATTTGGGTAAGTCCATGTCTAAGCCCATCAAAACATTTGGCCCATTTCATGCAACTAGAGCAAACCCATTCATTTATATCATAGCAAAATAAAATCAAATTGAGCAGTCATGATGACGTCAAGTATAAAGTTGAATGACTATGATGAAATAAAATCAAATTGAATGATCATAATGATGTTAAATATAAAGTAAGATGGCCATTAATAAACTTAGGACCGAGCTCCACATACGGGAGCTCGGTTCACACTGTTTGGGATCGGGCCCCACACGTATTAAAAAAATTGTCGAGCCCACCCTCACCTCTTTCTCACTTGACAGTGCCCCTGTACGTTCATCATTTTCCATAAATTTAACCCCCAACTAGCACTAAATTTTGGCAGAAATTTAAAATTTTAATTTTTATATCGGGATTTGATTTCAAAAAACAGTTAAAACGCCAAAATTTTAGCCACACAGTTCCAATTTACAATTTAGAACAATTTTGTCCAATTCAAAACCATTTCATAAACGGGTCATGCGACATGGTGTTGATAATTTCAAAAGTAGATTTCAGTTCGATTTTCTAATTTAAAAATAACAGGAAAGCATAAATGTAAATTTAAAAATACTATTTCCGTTGCAGCTTTTCACTATAATAATAATTAATTAATTAATTAAAATGCAAATAAATGTTTGAAGCTTGAACTATGAAAATTACGAAATATTAAAGTTGGAATTTACAATTTTAAAAATACTAATTCCGTTACAGCTTTTCACTGTAATAAAAATAAATAAATAAATAAATCGAACGATTAATAAAACGCAAATAAATGTTTCAAGTTTGAACTCTGAAAATTACGAAATATTAAAGTTGGAATGTACAATTTGCCAAGTAGAATGATCATAGGAGTTCGCATCCACATCAATCATCAAAAGCAACCCACATCAATCATCAGAAGCAACGATGATCCTGATTGTCATTTTTTCTGCAGCTTTATAACCGAACTGGTCGAATTTTAATTTTCTCTTGATATTTTTTTTGGAATTTTTAATTCCAACTAACAAAAAATTAAATTATTAATCAGTCACCCTGTAGATTCCCTGGCCAGCAATTCAGTCGCAGCAAGTTTCCAACAATTAAATAATTAGCTGCAAAAATCCTTATGATTTTAATTTTATGCCTTCTTCTTCACTGATTATTTCAGATTACAAAGATCTTATAGTTTATGGCATCCCAATTAAGGCCCCTGATTTATATAAATATCAGAGGGCCATTAATTGTTTAAAACAAAAAAAAAACAAAAAAAGAAAAAAAAAATCACAGTTGTGTGATACTGGTAGAACATGGACTCTCTTGTTCTGATGCCTGCCTCCGATCTATTTACAGATCAAATTCCAGCAGTTTTTGTGCATCAGAGGCCTTGGAAATTATGAAATTACTGATAGTTTCTTGTTACTATTTTTGTATTTAAGCCACTGCAACTGTGCCTGTCCGTACAACTTTCTTGGTATTATTTTCTTTAGTTGTGGAGTGATTGCTTCTCTTTGAAGAAGAAATTTTCCATCTTTTTTCATTGGCTTCATCTGTTTCTATCTGCTCTTGCCTGCATTCTTGGCTACAAAATGGTGTATTTCCTCTGCATAACACAATATTTCTATCCATATCAGATACTTTCCATAATTCCATGTCCCCCATAAAAAAAGGTCAAAAATAGGAAAGCTAAAATCTTGCTCAGTATTACATACAAGGAAATAATTTTAAGTATAAAATTACAATTTAAATTCTTGGCTAACCTGTACATGAAGATGTCACTGTTGTGGCCAAGTGGTCTGCGGCAAAGAGAGCAAGAATCAAGAAAGTGGGGTTGATAGTGGTTATCTTCGCATCCAGCGTAGTATAGAGCAGCTGCAGAACTCATCTTTGGTGTAGAGATAAAGAAACTAGTTGGGCCTGACGGTGGCTCGTGACTGTTTCCGGTGAGAAAATTGAGAAATGGGAATCGCTGTTTGTGGGGCAGTGAAGAAAGAGGAGGAATGGTGGTTTTATATACTGATTAAAGAGGGCAAGGCGAGGAAAGAGAGAGAGAGAGAGAGAGAGGAAGTAAGGCTTAGGTGCTGTATGGACCCACAAAAGAAATGTGATATAAATTAATCAACTTTTTTATTAAAGAGTCTTAGGATCCGTTTTATTATAAAGATGTAATTTGGGTTGAAAAAAATAAATTTTAGAAAATTGAATTGTCTAGAATTTTTTTGATTGGAAATTGACAATTAAATATATTTAATAAATATAATTTTTCACCTAAAAAATATTGAATTTTTTTGTTTTTTGATGTTCGTTTAATTTTGTTTTTCATGAAAATTGTCAATTAAAAAGATAAAATTTGTTACAATTGTCAAAAAAATGTGGCTAGAAATCCAATTCTCACCGAAATGGTAAGAATTGATTTTCCACAAAACCATGAATTTAGCACGTGTGGAGGGAAGTTGGAAAACAAATTTCATGAAATTTTTTAACAATCAAACAATGCAAATTGGGTGGAAATGAAAAATATTTTTCATGAAAAATCAATGCTATCAAACATGGTCTTAATTCTTATTAATTGGAAAGAAAAATAGTTTTGAATAATATTTTTAGAAAAATGTATTGCTGAAAAATAGAAAAAAAAAATTGTTATACGTATAGAATATTTTATTGTGTGAATTTGTGGTTGAAAATGATCATATAACAAACCATAAAATAAATGAATATTACTACATATACATCAAGATTTACATAAGGATCACATAATGTCCACGTAACTCTTTATCATTTGTCAATTTAAAACATAATCAACTTTTTTCATCCAATTTTTTTCCTCCACATCATTTTCAATAATCATTTTTGTACCATTTTTTGTACAAGTAGTAAATTCCAAAATAAGTTAATGGGTGTAAAATGAGTACTATACCGAGTCCCATTTTTTCAAATATATATATTAACTCATTTTGACATACACATTCTTTCATAAAAATAATTTTACAAGTAAATTTAAAAAAATTTCTTATTTTTTAACAATAAATTTTTAAGAATGTTAATATTTTTAAATACATTTTACTCTTAGAGCCTAATTGGTACTGATTATGAGAATCAATTTTTTTACTGTTAGGGAGAAAATGGGTCTTACCTGTGAGTGAACGAGTCAAAAATGACGGCTAACTATGTTAAGTAAATGTTAAAAAATTGATTTTTGGGCTTGAAAAATTAGAACCAAACAGGGCTTAAAATAGGGATCAATAAGCGGCTTGAAACGACAAGCTTTTTTGGTGTTATAATTTAGAGACATGGTATCAATGAGTAACGTCGTTCATTATTTCGAGTGATTATTGTCTAGAGATTAAGAACGATATTATTGCTTGAGCCTATTTTTAGAAAAATAAATTTTGTAATAACGATTTTTTAGTGAACATGTAATTAAAAACGAATTAGAAAAAAAATAATTTTTTAAAGAGTGGAGCTCAAACGTGGACAATTTACATAGTATCGTCTAAGTGATAGCATGTGTAGGGTTAAATGATTGATAAAATTGAATAAAATGATATCGGATCCATTAGTTTATACATATCGTCAAATTTCATGAAATTTTTTAACAATCAAACAATGCAAATTGGGTGGAAATGAAAAATATTTTTCATGAAAAATCAATGCTATCAAACATGGTCTTAATTCTTATTAATTGGAAAGAAAAATAGTTTTGAATAATATTTTTAGAAAAATGTATTGCTGAAAAATAGAAAAAAAAAATTGTTATACGTATAGAATATTTTATTGTGTGAATTTGTGGTTGAAAATGATCATATAACAAACCATAAAATAAATGAATATTACTACATATACATCAAGATTTACATAAGGATCACATAATGTCCACGTAACTCTTTATCATTTGTCAATTTAAAACATAATCAACTTTTTTCATCCAATTTTTTTCCTCCACATCATTTTCAATAATCATTTTTGTACCATTTTTTGTACAAGTAGTAAATTCCAAAATAAGTTAATGGGTGTAAAATGAGTACTATACCGAGTCCCATTTTTTCAAATATATATATTAACTCATTTTGACATACACATTCTTTCATAAAAATAATTTTACAAGTAAATTTAAAAAAATTTCTTATTTTTTAACAATAAATTTTTAAGAATGTTAATATTTTTAAATACATTTTACTCTTAGAGCCTAATTGGTACTGATTATGAGAATCAATTTTTTTACTGTTAGGGAGAAAATGGGTCTTACCTGTGAGTGAACGAGTCAAAAATGACGGCTAACTATGTTAAGTAAATGTTAAAAAATTGATTTTTGGGCTTGAAAAATTAGAACCAAACAGGGCTTAAAATAGGGATCAATAAGCGGCTTGAAACGACAAGTTTTTTTGGTGTTATAATTTAGAGACATGGTATCAATGAGTAACGTCGTTCATTATTTCGAGTGATTATTGTCTAGAGATTATATTTCGAGTGATTATTGTCTAGAGATTAAGAACGATATTATTGCTTGAGCCTATTTTTAGAAAAATAAATTTTGTACTAACGATTTTTTAGTGAACAGGTAATTAAAAACGAATTAGAAAAAAAATAATTTTTTAAAGAGTGGAGCTCAAACGTGGACAATTTACATAGTATCGTCTAAGTGATAGCATGTGTAGGGTTAAATGATTGATAAAATTGAATAAAATGATATCGGATCCATTAGTTTATACAGGGAAATACCTCAAATTGACCTAAATAAAGGAAGGATTTTTCAAAATAGCCTTTGACTTTTCTAAACATTTTGGATTACCTAAAATACCCTTAAACAAATATTAAAAAACAACCCTTTATCCAATATAAATCTTCTATTTAAGTCCTTAAAAAATTAACATATAATTTTTCTAAAAATTTGTGAGAATTATTAATGACTAATCATAAAATAGAAAAACCCAAATATAAGAGAGGACCATATAATATAAAAAAGGTTGTTAAAAATAAAAAAGAAATTAAGTTTGAAAAAGAAATTGATAAGATAGGATATCAAGAACAATTATATGCATCACAAGAAATATTAAAATGTTTTAAAACTTATTAGAAAATTTCGCTAAAGGAATTGTAAGGTCAATAATCATAAAAGATATACAAGATATTATAGATAAATTGGAAAAAAGGAAGAAAAATATTTCAAAATATGATATACCTTTTAGAACAGATATAGGTATGATAACAGATATTGATATTATAAATTCTCAAACATTATTAGACTTTGAAGAATTACTTAAGAATTTATGAAATTAAAAATTTTGATATTTTGATTATTAGATTATTAGATTTTTGTTCGCTCATAGTAGCACCCATAGAGTTGGTATCAGAGCCATAGAGATCATGGAAATCTTAAAAATAAATAATTATTATCAATGTATTGAAGAAAAAGGATGTTATATATTTTACAACCCTATCCCTAATAAACTAAAAATAATAACATTATATATAACTAGGAATTTACCTAGAGAAATAAAGGAACAAATATTACATAAATTAATTATAGGATTTATCAAAGATAGACGTACATATGAAATAATTTGTGAAATATTTGAAAATGAGTTGTATTATAAAGAAATATATGAATCATCATAAAATATAATGGAAAAAACTAAAAATATTTTAGATAGAAAGTTAGAAAGAATAAGATTAATAAATAATAAAATTTTAGATGAATTATTAATACCTGGAGAAATAACTAAAACTCAAGAAAAACAGATATTAAAATTAAAACAAGAAAGATATAAAGAAAAAGCAAGATATTATGAAAAATTAAAAGAACTGACAAGTATTGAAATTATAAAACAAAAGTATGATAAAATGATAAAAGAATGTAAAAATGCTGAGTGTGTAGTATTTTATTATTGTCAATCAAAAAATA